TTCTCTGTGTAGCTTTGCACCTTTCCTGGGACTCACTGGGTAGCCCAGGCTGGCCTCAAACTCAGAGATCCACCTGGCTCTGTCTCCCGAGTGCTGGGATTAAATGCGTGCGCCACCACCACCCGGCCATTTGTTCTCTTTTAAAAAATAATTTATTGTTTATTTTTATTTTATGTGCACTGGTGTTTTGCCAGCATGTATGTCTGTGAGGGTGTCAGATCTTGGAGTTACAGACAGTTGTGAGCTGTCCTGTGGGTGCTGGGAATTGAACCTGGGTCCTCTAGAAGAGCAGTCAGTGCTCTTAACTGCTGAACCATCTCTCCAGCCGGGTGGCAAGTATCTTTATGTGTAGAACCATCTCATGGTTCTACATTTTTTTTTCTTTTTTGGTTTTTTGAGACAAGGTTTCTCTGTATATTCCTGGCTATCTTAGAACTTACTCTATAGATCAGGCTGGCCCTGAACTCACAGAGATCTGCCTGCCTCTGCCTCCTGAGTGCTGGGATTAAAGGTGTTTGCTACCACCGCCCCTAAATTTTTTTCCGAATGTGTAGAGGTGAGAAGACAACTTGGAATAGACTCTTTCCTCCCACCACGTGGGTCCTACGATCTGCTCAGGTTGTCAGGCTTGGCATCAAGTGCCTTTACTTGCTAAAGCCATCTTACTGACCCCTGGTTGGTCTCAGGAGCTAGGGTCTTGTTAGGTGGTTTAGGCTGGCCTTGAACTCAACATGGTGCAGGCTGGTTTCTAGCTCTCAATCCTCCACCCCAACTTCCTGGGAATTGCAGGGTAAAGCCCCAAACCTGGCACCTCTTACAAACAAGATACCTTGCCGTGAGGCCTCAGGCCCTGACAAGAGTTGAAAACCCCATGACTCAGGGTTTTCCGTCTTCAGATTCTGCACCCATGTTCACTGTGTCCGGCTCTTTCTGCACTTGTCTCTGCCGCCCATCTAGGAAGGGAGCAAAGCTGTGTATAGAAAATAAGAAGGGGCCCATCTGGGCAGGTAGAGTCCCAGCTCCGCCTGAGTGAGAAATGCTGCCCATCCTTGACCTGGGGCTGTGAAGGAGGGGCTGGAAGCTGCATGCTGGTGCCGCTCCCAGGGCTCTGCACTGCAGAGGTGCTGCACCCAGCTTGCATTTCTTGCCACAACAGCCCTCCCCCTGGTGCCCCCAGTGTGTGTCTTTACCAGACCTTGAGATGGGAAAGCTGGAGGCCAGTCGGTCTCTGCCCCCGCCGCGGGTCTATTTCTCTCAGCCTCGTGGCAGCGCCCCTTCCCCAAGCCCTAGGAACTCTGCAGTGTGCACCCAGCCTTCCGCCCGCAGCCTCGCCCACTGTTAACTCCAGGAGCCGGCTCTCCTATTTGGGGAGTGTGGGTTGAAAGCAGACACCTAACCTGTTTAACCTGTCTGACGTCATCTTCGCTCCACCCACCTGTGCCCCAGGTCCCCAGGCGAGCTGGCTAGCTCTTCCTGTTCCCAGCTTCCGTCCTCTCAGTTCCCACGGAGTAGCCCAACCTGCCAAAGCTGAGCCTCCGGGGCTCTCCCTGGCCTCAACTCAGCCCTCGGTCCCTCACCCCAATGAGAGGGGAGCAAGGTGCAGGCCTCTAAGCTGAGAGTTGGGGTCATTTAGCCAATAAACAGACTGTGACCTCTGCACCTGCAAACACCTTCGCTCTCCATGCTGAGCCAAGATGGGGAACGGAAAAGACGAAGATTATAATTTTGTCTTCAAGGGTAAGTTGGGGCTCTTGGAAAAGGAAGAATCTAGAGAGGGTGGGAGAGAGGCTATTTTCAGAGAAGACAGGGTCTTGTCTTGTTTTTTAATCTCTTACTTGGACTCCCCCCCCCCCCCAGGCTCAGCATTCCTTCTAGGCCTCAAGGAGTGTAGGCAGGTGTGGTTACAGGTGCAGATGTTTAGAAGTTGTATGCTCTATTCCTTCCTATTGCCACATTAGCAGGCTTCCCTGCCCAGACTCTAATAAACGCTCAAATTCCCGGGAGTGTTAGCCCGGGAAGCCCAAGAGATAGAAGTCCAGCTTCAGAAAGGACTTGCATTCTGGACAGAGGGAGAAGAAAGCCAATAAGAGGAAGAAAGGCTGTCCAGGCGGTGGTGGTGCACGTCTTTAGTCCCAGCACTCGGGAGGCAGAGGCAGGCGGATGTCTGTGAGTTCAAGGCCGGCCTGGTCTACACAGTGAGTTCCAGGACAGCCAGGGCTACACGGAGAAACCCGGTCTTGAAACAAACTGGGGGAAGAAAAGAGGAAGAATGTCATCCACTCATCCTTCTGAGCAGGTGCATAGAAGCGAGGGGAAGGAGAGACGTCATCTCTGTTGAGCTCCGTGGTTGGTACGTAGGGAAGATATTGGGACATTGCAGTGAATTTGGAGCAGTCTGACGGGTTCCATGGGACTCCTGGGCTGAAGCCTGTGTGATGGCCCTTTGCACCTTCTTTGGACCCAGACACTAGGCACTGTCCCTGGAAGTGAGCGTGCATCCTTCCTGCTCTTTTATTCGGGGCTCCTAGTGTCTGGTCCCTCTGTGGGTCTCTAGCCCACTTCCTGAAGGCAAGGTGGCCTGGTGGCACTCTCACCCCACTTTGCACCACACCCCAGAGCCTCTCCCAACCTCAACCCCACCCTGGCCCAAGCTGGGGAGCCTGTACTCCTGGCATTTTTCCAAGGAAGCTCGTAGGGCTGTGGCCACGGTGTAGTGACTCCCATTATTAAGCTCCTAGTAGATGCCATTCTCACGAAATCATCTCCACATCCCTGGTGTGCTCTATCATTTTGAGTGGTCCCATGGCCTCTCTGCCACTTACCCGTTAGCACAGATGGGGTCCCAGTGCCCCTATGTCTCCATAGTGTGGGGTATTCCATGTTGACTATGGGCCACCACATGTGAAGATAAGCAGGAGTACACAGGATTGGGTAGAGGGTAGTCACTTGCCATGAGAGCTCCGAGGTAGTTGGAAAACAGGAAGCTTTGGGGGTAGCCTCAGAACACGGACCCTGGGGTACCACCTGGAGCTGTCTAGGAGAGGCATGACATCCCATGTCCATGCAGGCACACTGGGCTGCCACTGTCATTGCCTTCACCCCTTGCCATGAAGGAGAGAGAGGTGGGCAGTACGTTTATGTTTAGTGCAGTGTGACAGAGCTACTGTGTGTGTGTCTATAAAAATGGGACTAGTGAAGGCATTCACAAATCCGGGCATGATGAGGTTTTCTGGATGGTGGCTGATGTGAGGAGGCACTCTATAAATGTCAGCCACTGGCGTCTCTGTTTTACAGAGGAGGAAACTAACGTGTAGAGAGCTAAGTAGCTTGCCAACAAGAGGTCACGAAGGGGGCTAGAGAGGTGGCTCAGCAGGTGAGAGCACTGCTGTTCTTGCAGAGGACCCCGGTTCAATTCCCAGGACTGACATGATGGCTCACAAACATCCATAACTCCAGTTCCATGAGATCTGACATCCTACCGGCCATCCATATGTACAAGCAAAATGTACATACATAGAAGCAAGATGCTCATGCACATAAAATAAATACTTTTTTTTTTTTTTTGAGACAGGGTTTCTCTGTGTAGCTTTGGAGCTTGTCCTGGAACTCACTCTGTAGACCAGGCTGGCCTCAAACTCACAGATATCTGCCTGCTTCTACCTCCCGAGTTCTGGGATTAAAAGCGTGCCCCGCCACTGCCCGGCAAATCAATACATCTTAAAACAGAACAATCTAAAAAGGCCACAAAGCCAGTGGGACAGATGCCTGCCTAACCCTAAAACCCTTGCCCTGGGTCTGAGGACATGCCCTGGGTGAATGGGGATGCTCCTCCTAGCAAAGGAGAGGCAGGTAGTACACATGCATACACACAGGTGCACTCCTACACCTTCCTGTCACCCACAGAAGTGTTACTTGCCAACTTTACACCTCCCTCTTCCATGTACACACGTCACACTCCCAAGCCCCTCTTCCTCATCCATCCAACTCATATACAGACATCAGCAACCCCACCCCCCAACACACACACAGATGCCCTAAGCCCTGTAGCCAACCACAGCCTCTACCAGGAGAGCCAACTCTCTCCTTGCTTTTCTGAGCTCCCTTTTTTCCTGTGGCACAGACTCTGGGGTTCAGGTAGGCTCAGAGCTGCTCTGGCCTGCCTCAGCTCTCCTCTCTCCACTCCCTCAGTGGTGCTGATCGGCGAGTCAGGCGTGGGCAAGACCAATCTGCTGTCCCGGTTCACCCGCAATGAGTTCAGCCACGATAGCCGCACCACCATCGGGGTTGAGTTCTCCACCCGCACTGTAATGCTGGGCACCGCTGCTGTCAAGGCACAGATCTGGGACACAGCTGGCCTGGAGCGATACAGAGCCATCACCTCTGCGTGAGCCCAGGCCTGGGGGGGTTTGTTTGTGAGGACCCTGGGAAACCAGGACTCTCCTGTGGACTAGAGACAGGCGTGGGAGGATGGGAGGCAGGAGACTCTGTTGTGTGTTCCCTGGGATGGGAATCATGAAGACACAAGTTCTGTGATTGACCAACGGAGACAGACAGGATGTAATGATGGTTAACACAAGTCATAGCCCCATTTACTGAGCCTCTCATGTGCCCAGGAAGATACAAAGCACTTTATACCTGGCATTTTGTGGAGCTCTTAGAGCATTGCAGGAAGAAGAGAGGTGTTACAATCCAATCCATCCTTGCTTAAGTAGGCGCGTGGACAGAGAGCGCCCCCTGACTTCAGCACAGTGCTCTACTCTTGGCAACATGTCTAATCACAAGTGCCAAGGGCTAGCTGGACTCCGGAGTATGTTTTGTAGACCAGGCTAGCCTGATCTCACATGTAGACCTGGAACTCACTATGTAGTCCTGGCTGGTCTGGAACTCACTCTGTAGACCAGGCTGGCCTGGAACTCACAGAGATCTGCTGCCTCTGCTTCCGGAATGCTGGCATTAAAGGCGTGCGCCACCATTCCTGGTCATTATTTTTTAAAATTAGATTGGTTGATTGATTGGTGGGTGGATGGATGGATGGATGGATGGATTATACTCAGAACTGAATGTATGGCTTCCCACACAGTAGGCATGTCCATCCCCTTCTTAGAATATGCAGTTTATAAAGCCTCAGAAGGTTAGGCCTTCTGGTACTATATCCAGCGTCTCCTGGTCAGTGTTAGGTCCTGCTGTCTGAAATGTGGCCAGTCTATCATGTATGGTGGAAAGCAGAACCACAAGAGGCCAGAAGCCGGAAGCAGGGGTTATTGTTTTGTATACTCGAGGGCCACACCCGCCCACCACTCTTACTTATTTGACCTCTTTTAAGACTTGGTTGACATGTTAATAAACTAGGAATAAACCACGAATGGTGTTTCACCCCTGTAATACCAGCTGAAGCAGGAGGATTGCCTTGAGTTTGAATCCAGCCTGGGCTACATATTGAGTTCTTGTCTCAAAACCAAACAAGGAATAATTAGATGCCACCAGAGTCTGAAGACAGTCTTTTGAACTCAGAGGCTCCAGAAAGAGGCTACATGTCTGTAGGAACTCAGGCAGGTACTGACTGGTTCAAGCGGCAGGCACATGGCTCACCCTGGAAAGATGCCAGGAGAAGACGCCACTAGCTGAGGGGCTGTGTGAGGGAGACACTCAAAGTGGAAGATCCAAGGGCGCCCCTGGCCAGAGTCCGCGTGGGCGTTGGTGGGTGAGCAGGGCTGAAGTTAGGCAGAGGACTGAGGAAGCTGGGTGCCTTTGAGGAGCTGCTGGGGGTTTGGCGCAGGGAGACTCAGCTGCGAAGACTGCGACCAGCATCCCCGCAGCACAGGGGAGCCTGGAGTGCTCTGCAGGGCTGGAGTCCTTCCTGGGGGCTGGCACATCGATGTCAGGCATTTAGCTGGAGGACTACGCTCTAGGGCTGAGCCTGACATCCCCATCTAGTCTCTGTCCACCCCTCCCTCCGACCCCCGTACAGGTACTACCGCGGCGCGGTAGGGGCGCTCCTGGTATTCGACCTAACGAAGCACCAGACCTACGCTGTGGTGGAGCGCTGGCTGAAGGAGCTGTATGACCACGCGGAAGCCACTATCGTTGTCATGCTTGTGGGGAACAAAAGTGACCTCAGCCAGGCCCGGGAGGTGCCCACCGAGGAGGCCTGCATGTTTGCTGGTGAGAGCCTACTCCCACTCAGTCTGACTTCTCGATTGTGCAGACGCCTCGGACCCTGAGCGGTGGATTGCTCACGAGGGTTCACTGCTGCCAGGCCTTTTGGGAACCCCTATGTCTCCCCCCTGGCCCCTGCTGTGAGACTGCCTTCGGTAGCAGTTGTTCACAGCTAGGACAGCCTGGCCCACCCTGTGGGCTCCTGGTGGCCGTCTCCAGTCACTCCCTCCCAAGAAGCTTTCCGGGGTGAGCAGTGAGCAGTTCAATGCTGTGGTTTAGGAGGCAGCCTCCGGCCTCCTCCTGGTCAGTTACTGGATGTAGGGCATGGAGCAAGTCTCTTCCTCATTCTCTCTGCATTTCTAGGCTTTACTTTCCTAAATGAACCTGCCTTATAGATTGTATAAAGGATTAAATAAGCTACTGTCTACCAAGGGTTTTGCATATAGAAAAAAAGACCTAGAAAGAATTAAATAAATGTTTTCACTATTGTCATTGATCCACAACTAATGCCTGCTTCCTCTCCGGGCAGAAAACAATGGTCTGCTGTTCCTGGAGACCTCAGCCCTGGACTCCACCAATGTTGAGCTAGCCTTTGAGACTGTCCTCAAGGGTGAGAGTCTGCATACATCGGGTACTCTGTCTCAGCTGGAATACCCCGCCCTAGCCCTCAGCCCACTGTAGGCCTCCAGCCTCCTCAGGGTCACTGGTCCACCTCCCAGCCCTCCACTCATCCTAGAGTTGAAGGAGGCCTCATTTTTCTAGGGGGCCGAGTCTGGGTTCCTTGTTTACCCAGGAAGGTAGACAAGACCCAGGTGTCAAAACAACTAACTTCCAGCAAAAACTCTTTCTGGGGTGGCCACCTGTGCTCAGAAATGGCATGGTTAGGGGGTGGGACATTAAACTTCCGGCCTGATTATTGCTCTTTGTCCTTAGAGATCTTTGCAAAGGTGTCCAAGCAGAGGCAGAACAGCACCCGGACCAATGCCATCACCCTGGGTAATGCCCAAGCTGGACAAGATTCTGGCCCTGGGGAGAAGAAGGCTTGCTGCATTAACCTTTGACCTCAGCCATGGTCAACCCCATGTCCCTGCCTTCAGCCTTTGGGTACCCCTCCACCCTGACTGCAGGACTTCTCCCCCCCCTTGAGTCCTGTTCACAAGCACCCAGGGTTATCGTGCCCTACCAATCACCTGTCCACACCCCTCATGGGCTAGGGCCCTCAAATAAAGCTGTTTTGTATCATGCCTGGCCATCCTGCCGCCTTCCATCTGTTCCTTGTCGGATTGTCGGTGCTGCCCTTCCAACTTTGACTCCTCCCCTGAGTCCCTGATCCCTTTCTGTCACCCCCACCATATCCACTGCCCCTCAGGGGCCGCTTCTGGAGTTCTGTGGTCTGGGGACGGTGCCAAGAGGACAGGAATTGCCCACCCTTCCCTCTGCCAACCCTTAGGGCAGGTGGGGGATGGAGGATTGTGTGGAGGGGAGAGGTATTTGGAAGGCAAAACAAAAGAAACCATCCTCCAGCACCATCTGGTACCCAACGCTCTGGTGCCAAGAACTGAGGTCACTCTAATGCCAGGGGCAAGACAAGGTAGCTGGGAAAGATTCTAGGAAGCAGGGCCAGCCTAGTGTATGTCCTCAGGAGGGTTCCAAAGACTGGAGGGGAGCACCCAATCAGTCCCTTCCCTGAACAGGGAGGAACTGAAGTTGGTAGAGTAGGGGGAGGATTTTGTCTCTAACATCTTTTCCAGGGAGCCAAGAGGTAGCTCTCTAAGCAAGGGATGGCAGGGAACCCTGGAGATACCCACTTTCCAGGCAGGAGCACCCCCCCCCCACTGCAAGTGCTACCCAAGATCCAACTGTCACACAGTCAAAGACAAAGTCTTAAGTAATAATACTTTTAATAAAATTAACTTCTCAATAGCACATTTAATACATTAACCCTCCCCCTTCTTGGTTTCTCTGCATTGTGTGCAACATCACTTGGACTTGATTATTCATGGGTCTATCTTATTTCCCACCTTTATTTTTGCATTTGAAAATCTTCCTTGGTGATTTGTACGAGTCACTAGATGCCTCAAATTAAGTCTGACCACGATCCTATTCTACTTTCTACAGTGGAGAGACCATCTTTCCCTGCCCCAGGGCTGTCTCCGCCCACCCACCTGACCTCTCAAGCACTCACCCTCAGGTAGGCAAAGGGGAAGTCCTCCCTTCCCAGATGCTACCATCTCAAACCATTGAGGGTCCTAGGGCAAAGTAGGGCAGGGGGACCTCTAGTCTCTAGATGGGGTGAGAAGAGTGAATCGGGAGAGGGAGATGTATTTGGGCTCCAGGGTTATGAAGTGATGTACTGCTTTGCTCAGACTAAAGCCGAGAGGCCTCTCCCCATCCTGATCCCATTGCCAGCAGGGGCTGATGGAAGGCAAGTGCTTAAAAAATGCTCATCTCTCACATGCAAAAAGCTAGGCTTCCAGTTTTCCCTGGGGAAGGTGATGCGATATGGCCATGTGGGTGACCCCTGTTTGAACACAGAAGGGGGCTGGCGCACAAGGGCTGCACTGTGGTCACCAAAGCTCCCTGCACACTTTCACCACTGTACTTTTGGGGGGCAGGTTCTCCCAGGCCAGTATCTGCCCTCTACTTCCTGAGTAGAAAGTATTCCTTGGGATCTAACTTTCTCTGAGATTCCACAAAGCCCAGTGTGGTGAGGTGGCGCCTGCCTTGTCGTCCCAGCAATTGAAGGCAGCAAGATGGCTGCTTGATTAAGGCCAGACTGAGCTCGAGACCCTGTGTCAAAAACTAAAAACAAAGCCCCACTGCGCATGTGAAGGAAAAGAGCACTGGATTGCATTACCGCCCCCACCGCTGCCCGGGCTGTGGAAAATCCGAGCTGACAAGCACGTGCATGCTCATGGTTGAGTCGCTATCCACCTCACTCTCGGAGCCACCCTGTAGCAAGATGGACTGAGGTGACCGCAAGGACCTCCTTCCTCAGTGTGGCCTGGGAGAAGCTGCCTTGGGTGGGGGGTGGGCGTGAGGAGTAGGGGCTTCTCCCCAGATGGCCAGGCTCTCCGCCCAGGCTCACCCGGCTTCAGATGACCAGTGTGGACCCTGGCAAAGACCCTGGGACAGAGCCCTCCAGTACTTGTCCCACACTTACAAACCTAAGGATTCTCAGAATCAACCCCAGCAGACTGGAAGCTCCCAATCTTTGCTAGCAGCCTGCTCCGACCCTGTCCCCAGGGGTAGGGCAGCTCAGCCGCTGGCCTCTATTCTTTTTTTCCATACTTTTATACATTCTACTGGGCGCGGGCCCACAATGCTACTAAACTTTACGCTATCTGAGTATCATCTACTAAGTAACTAGTAATTCTTTTTTCTTTCTCTAGGATTATATGAAATAAATTTGAATTATTTTGTAGTATTCTCTTCTTTTAAACCCCTCGGTTTTTCTTTCTCTTCTCATTTTTTTCTTTTTCTTTTTGGTTAAAAAAAAAATCTATTTCTCTTAAATCTCACGCCTCTGAGGGTTTCCACAGGCCTGCTAGGCCTCCATTCTGGGTTTCCCCTCCCTACTTGCCCCTGGCACAGGGTCGGGGAAGGAGGGGACACCCCAGGACCCTCAGTCCTTAGTCCCAAAGCTTCTTCCTTTCTGGTTAATCCCTTCCTTTGTTTGGCTCCGCCAGCTCCCCTGAGGGGGAGGAGGAGGGGAGCCCACGGAATGAAATCCAATCTACTGGTGGGGGCCCCAGAAGGGACCAACTCCCCCATCCCCTCTCTCCACCATCCACCCCAGGATGCTCCCCCAAGAAAAGCAAATGACATTTCTCCCCAAAAAAAGGTGGGGGGAAAAAAAAGAACATAAACCCGAACATATATTAAAAACTTTTTTAAGATTTAACTCTGAATACAAATGTATTTTTTCTTCTCTCCCTACATATATTCTAAACCTTCTAAAGTTTTTTTTTTAAGGATCACTTTATCATAAAATAAAATATCCTTTTCATATAATAAATTACCTAATAAAAAGTCTTTTTTTTTTCATATTAGCCCAGGTTCTTTGCTACATTTATACGGTAATAAATGCCTTTATTAAAATAGAATATTAAATTATAAAGAACTGCTTTTTTTTCTTTTTTGCTATTTTTGTTTCCTTTCCTGTTGGTCGCCCATCTCACTCCCTCAGTTTCTGGTTTGTCGCTCACGGTTGCTTGTTTGGCGCTGGTTTCTAGGAAAGGCTCACTCGGCAAGGGTGGGACTGGACCTGGGAGCCCCTAGGGTTAACAGTCTTTTGCCTTTGTGGGTAAGGAGTGGAGAGGGGGAGGGGGACTGACAGACAGACATCCCTTCTTCCCACCCCCTCCCACCCCCTGCCCCTGGGCAACCCAGGGTGCCCATTTGGTTTGGTTTCTATTGTACAGACATCTCAAGATGGCTCACATTGGTGGGAAGGAGGGAAGCGGCCACAGGGCCAGTCTTCTGGGCTGTGACCTCCTTCCTCTCCCCTCCCAGGCTGGTGGTCTGGAGGGGAAGGCTGAGGAGAGGCAAGTTAATTCACGACAGGCAAAGGAGAGACCGGACCCCCCTCTGTGCCTTCATCCCACATCCTTTCCCCATCCAGGAGGAATGGGACTCTGAGCTGCAAGAGCTCAGGGCAGTCCCACCCGACTATATACAAGCATTTCCTGGGCCTCCTGGGCCTCCCCATCCATCACCCATCCTCTCCCGGCCCGGCCAGCGGAACCAGGAGGGTAGGAGGCCGTTGACAGACACAAGTGAGCAGCAGGAGCAGCCAAGTGGCGCCAGGCCTATCACAATACCTGACTCTCCCAACAGGCCCTGCTGCACCTCAGTCCTGCTTTGCCCTGGCTAGACCCCTCACCAAAGAGCTGGCCACTCTCCTCAGCCAGCGGGTAAGACAGAGACTTCATGATTTGTGGCTAATAAGGATTCAATAATGGTTCAGCTAGGTGCAGAGAGGTCAGGGGGTAGGCCACTGCAGGTGAGGGGGAGGGGAGCCCTTCCAGCCACGTTTCTCCTGCCACAGGACTTTTCCTGCCTCCCATTTTCCCTTCCTTTGGCCAGAAGATCCAGAACTAGTATTCCCTAAGTATAATGCCCATGGTTGATAAAGGTGGGGTTTCAACCCCTGATGTACCCCCATTATTAGTTTCCCTCTCAAACTGTCACTGAGTCTACGGCTACATTCCATCAAGAACTGGAACGGATTCTTTGGAGGAGTGGGGGACAGGGCTGTCTAGTACATGAAGAGGAACGGGGGGGGGGGGCGCACTATCAAAATGTTCTCCAGACTTCTCCCCAGGATGGTATCCCCAAAGCTGGGCTAGAAGGGGCAGGAAAGGGGGAAGGAAAGACAGGCAGAGAGGAGCAAGAGACTGAAAGCGACAGCCAGGGATGGGGGAACTGAAGGAATAGAAAAAAGCGAGGGGCAAACCCAGAAGAAAAGTCGGGGGGGGAAAAGCCAAGCCAAAAAGTTGGGAGGGGAAAGAGAAGCCCCTCTTTCCAGATCTCTCTAGCCCAGCTTTGTAAGACAGATGAGTTGTGAGCCCTTTATTGATTGACACCCTCCTCCACCCCAGAGTAACTGCCCAGATCTCTGATAGGCCCCCTTCTCCCTTACACTGTTGGGAACTCAGGGGGGTATGAGTGGGGGGGGGGGTAAAGGGTCGTTAGGAGGGGGGAGGTCAGGACCAGAGGAGGGGGGGAGGGAGATCACCAAGACCACCTCTGGTTACAGGCTGGCAATTCTCCCCCTCCTGTGTTCTTACCCCTCCGCCGCCGAGGGAAGGGGCAAACTGACACACGGATGGGGTGAAGGGAAAGGTCAGGATGTCCTGGTGGCCACTTCAGGCTAAACAAAAGCTTCTCTTAGCTGCTTCCAGATTGAAGGGTGTGTTGAGGTATCAGTTGTAACTCTAGTAAAACGTACGGTCTGGCCCCTTCCCAAAGGGTAACCAGAGGTTCTGAAAGTGGCTGCCCCCCCAGCCACTCCTGCCTCCCTTCCCCACCCCAGCGAGCGAATATTTCTAAGCACCTTGCCCTATAGTCACTGATTTTCCAAAGGCCCTGCAGGTCCAGGGTGGCACCCCGGGGCGGCGGGCCCAGGAGACCAGGGACAGGGAGCTTAGGAAAATATTCGGATGGCTTGCGTGGCGGTGATGTGGCAGACAGGACACTCTGGGTCCGTCCTCTCGCAGATGCGTACTGCACACTCCATGCAGAAAAG